TTGTATAGTTTTGACATTGAGTAATTATTGAGATTCTATTGGATTGAAATTATATTGAGATTGGTTTCAAGAGTAAGCGCCCAGGTAGGTCGTGAGCTTTTTTGCCACTGTCTTGGTATAAAAAAAAAAATGAAAATATTGATTAATTGTCTCTGTCCTACCCCAATGGGAGGCAGGCGTGACAATATGTATGTTTGTATGTTATGTTATGCAAATGAACGATATCAAATTAATACAATCGTAATGCGAAACTACTAACCTTTACATTAGAAGCTTCTTACCTACAAAGTTATCGTTTATTTAAATGTTAATTTTAATACATAACACTAAGACCGCATTCCTTTTAATCCTCACCTCGTTCTTCAGTAGGCAGAGATATAAGATAAAATTAAAATTTGGGGCACCTTAGCCTAGCCCTTTCAGCGAAGCGCTGCCTCCTCGCAACCCAGCCATCGCGAAGGACACACCGGGCGTCGGGGATCGCGGGACGATCTCCGGCCACCGTAAGCGCGGGCCTGCGGACGGGGAGCATGGGTGGCTCCCCGTCCGACCAGAAACAGACCCGAGCGTACGGCGCGTCGCGTTTCGCGCGCGCCTCAAAGAGCCATCAAACCACCACAGATAGGGCCCAATAGGGCCGATGCCGATTCGGAGTCGCGGAGAACCTAACGGGTAACCGGGGCTCCGGCTCGACGTGCAGGAGAAGGAACGGGGTGGTTTTTAGTCAGTAAGAGTGTGACACTCCCTTCCGCTTCACCCAGGCGGGAGCAGTCATTCGAAGATTTTCCCCCCTTAAAAAAAATAAAAATAGCCTAGCCCTTTCAAAGATCCAAAGTATCAAAAGACTGTTATGTTAGTTTATGGGGACCACCAGAAAATACTTTGACCCTGACACCCGAATACTGAAAGGCTATTGAGGTTGTACTTAAGTATCGTGCCGTCTCTGTCATTTTACAAAGAATTTGTTGTGACAGAACTATAGTTAAGCACGACTTAATATTTAATAACAACATCACGCCTTTTATCCCCGAAGGGGTAGGCAGAGGTGCACACGGAAGAAACACCCACTTTTCACTATTTATGTTATGAGTCCCATGTAATAGGGGTAAGCCTATTGTCATATACCGGGCACAATTCCAGACTCCGTGCTACTATCTGAGATTTTCTTTTAAAACCCTGTAATACTTAACCCGACTTGGGAATCGAACCCGAGACCACTTTTAGTCAGTAAGAGTCTGACACTCCCTCCCGCCTCACCCAGGCGGGAGCTGTCATCCGATGATTTTCCCTCCTTAAAAAAAAAATTAGCTTCACTGACTGACAGACTATTAAGTATTTATTTTGTATTTGTTGACGTTTTAAAAGTACCAAAGTATGGTTTAATTGAAATAAATGCTTTGACTTTGACTAAATCAGGTGATACGTTAAACATAAGCCTTAGTTTATCAAGTTATTCATTCGAATAGCGGGTCTTAGTGTCTTTTTTTACATTTTTTAATGGCATTTGTACTAAACGTTAGTATAATGTCAAACTTGCTAACAAGTTTAATAATACTGGCCATTACCTGTATACTTATATTTAAGTGTCCTGAATCAAAGAGCGATCAGACCCCAGATGAGGCCGAGTAGGGCTGATGGCCGACCTGGAGCTATGAACAACAAAACACCGCGGTGGTTTTTACGCAGTAAGAAGCTGACACTCCCTCCTGCTTCGTCTTATTCAATCATCAATCACTATCAATCATCAACAGCCTATAAATGCCCACTGCTGAGCAAAGCATCTTCTCACACGGAGAACGTTTGAGCATTCATCACCTCGCTTGCCAATGCGGGTTGGCGATTACAAACTTATAAATAGAAATTATAAGCCCAGGTTTCCACACAATGTTTTCCTTCACCGTTTGTCAGTGGTGTCTAAATAATCTTAGAAAGTACATGTAAAAAGTATTTTTTTTTTAACTTGGAAAAAGTATTTTTTCTTTTTTTAAAGAACGTTGCCCCACACTAGGATTTTCTCCTGGGTCGTGGGTGCGTTTACAAACATACAATATCACATACTTCACACCCAGACCCGGAACAACAATCTGTGGATCACACAAAGAGTTGTTCCGTGTGGGAATCGAACCCGCGACACGTTGCGCGGCAGCCAGTTGCCCAGCCACCGCGCCAACCGTGCAGTCAAAGTCACATTGGTACTTGCCGTTAGTAGGTTTCTAACCTGCAGGTTCGCACGCCCGCTTCTCATGCATGACATTCGGGGAAGATATTGGTTGGTTTAAAAAAAAATCAGTATGTATCGGCACTAATCGCTTACCAACAGGTGATACGTCTGCAGGTTTACACCTATACCTAAAAAAATATAATGTAATCCTTTTCTATCTATATATAAATATTTAACAACAACAAGTTTAAGATATAAAACTATTAGAAATCACCAAACTGGTTGGACGAGGCCCAATTTCTAGCTGATCCATTATAATACAAGCCTATAGCAGGGCTGCCTCAAATCGATAAAATCATCGACTGACATAGATAGCTGTTTCCTTCATAAATATGTATAGCAACACTTTTGTAATTATTTCCACTTTTTCACGTGTTCTTTATAATAGGGTAGTTTCCAGGGTAAGAAAATTTAAAATCTAATTAGTCCATCAGTTCGATAATGGAATTATTATTAGTTACAATTATTAAATAAAATGGAGTTAAGTTTAGGAGTGGGAGGTAGTTACGTTTTTGACGTCACACGACATTTCAAATCAATATATCTTCGAAAGCATTTAATTTTGTAAGAAAAGAAAAAATACGTGTCTAAAGTTTTTAATTAATCCACCAGACGGACATAAAAATAAAATTTAGGAAACTACCCTTATCTCAGCCGGAAGACGTCCACTGCTGGACAAAAGGCCTCCCCCTTAGTCCTCCAAGTCGAATGACATCTTGCTACTACATCTATTGTGTCTTCGCGACTCTGACGATGTCATTCCTCCACCTATAAACTAAGCCTGCTCACGGTACGTCTACAGGGGACTTACTCTGGAATCCAATTCCGATCGATCGACATTGGTATTGTAAAATTTCGTACTCTTGATTTGCAACACTAGCGCCCATTGCATCCGTATTGCGAGGATATTTAATGAATTAAATTTTATTGAGTTTGGCTTTATATACCGTACTCTGAATGTTGTATTAACAGCTAGGATAGGGTTGTATAGTTTTGACATTGAATAATTATTGAGATTTTATTGAATTAAAATTGCATTGACGTTGAGATTGATTTCAAGAGTAAGCATCCTAGTCCGGGGTTCCCATGCAAGTAGGTACTTTTCTACCAAAAAAAAACTTAACTACTAAACGAATGTCCTTTTTTATCTGTCAACCCTAACACATAACTTGAAGTAGATTCCTGAGCATCGATCGTGTTTATCTTATTTGTTATTTGGAATATTTGCAAAGCCCAAGTACAGTTAGTGTGATAAATATAACATTCACATAAAAATATATTTTTATCAGTCAAGTGAAAACAACTTAGTATAAAACCTCTATTTAAAACAAGCTACATAACATAACTTCACGCCTTTTTATCCCCGAACGGGTAGGCAGCAGCAGCAGTTGCAAGTGCGACTGCGGGCAAGAGGTCTCGGGTTCGATTCCCAGGTCCAAGTTTTACTGGGTTTTTAAAAAAAATCTCAGCAGTAGCACGAAGTCTGAAAATGTGCCCGGCATATGGCAATAGGCTCACCCCCTATTACATGGGACTCATAACATAAATAGTGAAAAGTGGGTGTTGTATTGTACAGTGGCATTGAGTGCCGTAATGTGCACCTCTGCCTACCCCTTCGGGGATAAAAGGCGTGTAGTTATGTATGAAAATGTTTTAGTATATTAACGGATTTCAAAAAAGGGGATGCGAAGTCGGATTTTTTAAATGTAGTTTACGTATAAAAGAATTATTTGTAGTTAACTGTACCAACTTAACCGGACATTAAAAGAAACTGTAACAGATAAAATATAATTAATGTTTATTTACTTTCTTAATGGAAACTACTTTAACTTAATGGTGTACATGTGAATTTTTAATCACCACTCCGGTTCTTTGCGGAAATGAGATCTGATCACGAATTTGCACCGTTGAAAGTATACTCATCAAAAAATACGTAATAGGTATAACTAGAATTTTTGTAATATTCGAAATGCTGTGGTTAATTAGGCCTCTGGTTGAGTGTCCCGAATGGGGCCAAATTATTGGAGAAAATTTTGGTTTTTCTAAAATCTTCAGTAGCACCGCGAAGTCAGTATTGGGATTGTTGAATAATAATAAACGAGATGAAAGTTTAACAATACGTTTATTAGCCGGTAAAGATTACAGAGAACAGACAGAATGCACTAGCGCCACATGTGACAACAATCGGAAACTTTTGGTTATGTTCGGAAACTATAACAAACTAACAATACTTATTGATTTAATGTTTAATATTTCATCAGGGATGATGACAGGGTATGAAAATTAAAAATCTAATTAAGCTAGCACTAAACTTGGAAAAAGTCGCATTGGTACTTGCCGTTGGTAGGTTTCAAACCCGCACTCTCATGCATGATAAGCGGGCATCTTAAACCTCCGGGCCACCACAACTGTGAAAATAAACTTTATAAAACATCATACATAACATAACATCACGCTCATCGTGCACATTACAGCACTTAATGCCACTGTACAATGTAACACCCAGTTTTCACTATTTATGTTATGAGTCCCACGTAATAGGGGGTGAGCCTATTGCCATATACCGGACACAATTCCAGAGACCATGCTCATACTGAGATTATTAAAATCCAGTAATACTTTTCCCGTCCCGGGTCCCGGTCAATACCCGGATCTCGGATTCAATAATCCGAGACCCCTTTCCCGGCAGTCGCACTTGCGACCATTCGGCCAACGAGGCAGTCTATATCAATATCAAGTTTATCAAACATCAATTAAGTGTCATTCTATTTGTCCCCAGAGTGATATGTCAACACGTAATACGGCCACATCGTTCCGCGCTCGCCGCGGCCACAAGGAGCGGTCAAAGAACTTCACGGAACTGGAGAAGCGAACAGTCCTCGAGCTGATCGCCCACCACAGGGACGTGCTGCGACAAGGCCGCTCCAACAACGCTACAAATAGGAGCAAACAGGTACGTACAGTCAACTTCCCGCCTCACCCAGGCGGGAGAAGACAAACTCATTCAATTAAACCATAATTTGGTACTTTTGAAACGTCAACAAATATGAAATAAATAATAGTCTGTCAGTCTGTCCGTCAGTGAAGCTAGGCGCTCGTTCCAAAATGTTGATTCGAGTGTAGAAGAACGAGCAAGAAACTCCATTCGTTACTCTTTTAAAAAAAAAAAGTCTGTTTTACATTGCTCTGATACATATTCCAATATACATGACACACAATGACATTCGATGATTTCCCCCCCTTAAAACAGCAGGTGATTTGGAGATCGCTATTTAAAAAGGTCGCTGTCAAAGTCAAAGCATTGATGTCAATTAAAGGATTAATTGAATTTGACGTTTCAAAAGTGCCTAAGTATCCTTATTTAGGCACTTTTGAAACGTCACATTCCTTAGTCGGTCTATGGTGATTCTCTTCAGTCATAACATACTTTTTTTATCTTTATTTATTTACAGGGTTTGTTTTTTTATGGCATAAGCCGGTAAACGAGCAGACAGATCACCTGATGGTAAGCAATCGGCGTCGCTCATGGACACCTGGAACACCAGAGGCGTTACAAGTGCGTCACCGGCTTTTGGGGATTAGGAGTTTGAAGATCGTTGGGGATTCAGGGGTTGGGGAGATTGGGGAAGGGGAAGGTAATTGGGCCTCCGGAAACCTCACTCACACGACGAAACGCAACGCTGTGGTTGCTTCACGTCGGTTTTCTGTGAGGCCGTGGTATCACTCCGGTCGAGCCGGCCTATTCGTTCCGAAGCATGGCTCTCCCTCACTTTTCTTATAAGAAAACGACACCCCGATTATTGAGTACTAAAATTGCCTGTATGTATATGGCCTTTCGTAAAATTTGTATTTCTAACCGACTTCAAAAAAAAATGAGGTCCTCAGTTTGACCTGTGTGTATGTATGTGTGGACAGACAGACGGCGGATAGCGACTTTGTTTTACACTATGTAGTGATTACTTATTCTAGTAAAGTTTTAAAACCAAGAAAATGCAAGATTTTCATCTATCAACTCTTTAAAGATAAAAGAAAACGTAAGCCCTAATTTACTGCCACACTCTTTGCCCTTAAAACCTATTAACTATTGACCGAACTAATTGAATTCCTCACAAACTTATCAATATTGTTAAAGATACGATAATATGATAAACAATCATATCACTACACCTTACGTAAGTGTTATCGTTATCATAAAGTTACCGGTTAATGTATTATCTCTGTGTTTCGCTTCCGTGGTGGTTCAAAAGTTAATCGAAATTCTATAATGTTCCAATCCAAGTACCTAGCAGATCATGTAGTGCAGAGATTGTCCAGTCAACAAGGATGTAGCGTAGACTGTCCAGGCGACACACGTACTTAGGTATCGTCATGAGCTAATGTTCACATGTAAACAGCAGCTCATGTAGTGCAGAGATTGTCCAGTCAACAAGGATGTAGCGTAGACTGTCCAGGCGACACACGTACTTAGGTATCGTCATGAGCTAATGTTCACATGTAAACAGCAGCTCATGTAGTGCAGAGATTGTCCAGTCAACAAGGATGTAGCGTAGACTGTCCAGGCGACACACGTACTTAGGTATCGTCATGAGCTAATGTTCACATGTAAACAGCAGCTCATGTAGTGCAGAGATTGACCAGTTAACAAGGATGTAGCGTAGACTGTCCAGGCGACACACGTACTTAGGTATCGTCATGAGCTAATGTTCACATGTAAACAGCAGATCATGTAGTGCAGAGATTGACCAGTTAACAAGGATGTAGCGTAGACTGTCCAGGCGACACACGTACTTAGGTATCGTCATGAGCTAATGTTCACTTGTAAACAGCAGCTCATGTAGTGCAGAGATTGTCCAGTCAACAAGGATGTAGCGTAGACTGTCCAGGCGACACACGTACTTAGGTATCGTCATGAGCTAATGTTCACTTGTAAACAGCAGCTCATGTAGTGCAGAGATTGTCCAGTCAACAAGGATGTAGCGTAGACTGTCCAGGCGACACACGTACTTAGATATCGTCATGAGCTAATGTTCACATGTAAACAGCAGCTCATGTAGTGCAGAGATTGTCCTGTTAACAAGGATGTAGCAGTTTCAAAATTCCAGGATTATTAGAGAGCGATCCAGTCTCTGTCAAATGTGTAGTCCCTTAGTAGGCTCTTAAGACATCCGGGACAGGTCTTAAGATATCTATGATAAGTCCTATTAAGGAGTTATTACATGTCAAAGAAACTACAAATAAATAATAATATAAACATAACATCATGCCTTTTTATCCCCGAAGGGGTACTCAAAGGAGCGCATTACGGTATTTAATGCTACTGTACAATGTTACATCCACTTTTCACTATTTAAGTTATGAGTCCCATGTAATAGGGGGTGAGCCTATTGCCATATACCGGGCACAATTCCACACTCGGTGCTATAACTGAGAAATTTAATAAAACCTAGTATTACTTTGCTCGTCCCGGGAATCGAACCCGAGACACTTTGACCAGCAGTCTTACTTACGACTACTCTGCCAACGAGGCAATCTATATAATAATTAACCAATTAATCACGAATTAATCTTTCAAAAGTCTTCGCCGATAAATGCCGCATCAATCAAGGTTGACCATAATCTAATAATAATGTTACATTATTATTTTTATATTTAAACATAATAACGACACGAGGCGATCTGTCAACTCAGCGGTAACCATAGACAAGCAGTGTTCAGTTACCGCCATGTGTATGATCGCTTTCATTGCATAAAATCACCTAGCTTGCAATTTCTAATGCGCAATTCGATTTACTAGTTAATTAGCACAGATTTGCTTGCGTATTTTATATGGATAGATTTTATATGTGGATAAATGGGCTAAAAAAAAAATTATGAGTTTTCCTTATGGGACAAGCCCGCCACAACCTCCCAAAACCGCTGCAACTCCTGTAAGCCAGGACCTACAGTATATACAACCATGCAAACACGAATAGCTGTCTTTGATACAACCGAATTAAATGGGGCCTCCGGTAACCTCACTCACTCGACGAAACAAAACGCAACGTTTCTGTTTGGCCGTGGTATCACTCCGGTCGAGCCGGCCCATTCGTGCCGAAGCATGGCTCTTCCACACGGAGTCTTATAACTTCTCTAATCTCTAAAATCCCTATCTTATAAATTTGAAATCGCCAGTCCGCATTGTACAAGCGTGGCGAAACTGTAACTTTACTAATTAATTCTTTTTCTAAGAAATAAATGGCGATAACTATAAAAGTAAGACCATGATTGAAGAAAAGTAAAAAATAAAAAAGTACATTGTGTATATAATTAAAAGCTTAACCTTTCGTAATAAAAAAATAAAAGTGAGTATGATTATCTCAATACCAGTTTTGTTATAAATACTTATAAATTTTATAGCATACATACAAACCGACTATTTAATAATTATTTATGTTTAGAATGGTATTTTAATTTCACTTCACACCACAATATTATTAATTTTGTAATTTTATACTTTAAACATAAACAATAGTAATAATACTCCTTTGTGCTTAGGCTGTATAGCGAACTACCTTTGCCTCATTCCGTTGATTTTAAAAACTGTAGCTGTCAAAATTGAGCGGCAAAAGTAATTATAAAAGAAAATCGTCTAATTTCGACTTTATTTCGATTATTAAATGCGAATAAAATAAAATAAATGGATCCGCAGAACCAGTTGTATAATTACGTGAGTTCCTTTTTATTTAAAACATTTTTCGTGTATGCAATCATAATTTATTTGTGCTACGGCACGAATGGGCCGGCTCGACCGGAGTGATACCACGGCCGAGCAGAAAACGGGCGTGAAACAACTGTTGCGATGTGTTTCATCGTATGAGTGAGGTTACCAGAGGGGCAACTTCTTTCCTCCCAAATCCCTAATCCCATGGGGGATTCCTTAAATCCCTAATTCCCCAAAAAGCGGCAACGCTTTTGTTACTCTTACAGGACCGTCTGGGTGTGATGTGCATATATAATTGTATTTGTAAACGCACCCTCGACACCAGAGATTTTTTTTAATAATTATCGTGACCATAGATACAAAGACACCAGAGAATATCCTACTGTGTTGCCACATTTAAAGAAAATTTATGTTTTTTTTAAGTAAATTTTAATTATATTTCCAGTTGGTGTGGTCGACAATATGCGAGGAGGTGAACAAACGGTGCGGAGGCGACCGTCCCCGCACTCCCGCGCAGGTCAAGATGTGGTACGAGAACTATAAGAAAAAATGCAAAATGCGCGCACATGACACACAGGTATGTAATAACCAATTTATACGATAATAATAAAAACCGCCTCGGTGGCCGAGTGGTCGCAAGTGCGACTGCCGGGCAAGGGGTCTCGGGTACGATTCCCGGGACGGGCAAAGTAATAATATAATAATATTCTTTATTGTACACCACATAAACACAAGGGACAACAAAAAAATAAATATAGTGCACAATGGACGGTGTTATCGCACAAGGCGATCTCTTACAGACAACCTTTAGATGGAGCTGTAATAGGATTATAAGGTTTTTTTAAAAAAATCACAGGAGTAGCACGGAGTCTGGAATTGTGCCCGGTATATGGCAGGCTCACCCCCTATTACATGGGACTCATAACAGAAATAGTGAAAAGTGGGTGTTACATTGTACTGTGGCATTAAGTGCCATAATGTGCGCCTCTGCCTACTCTTTACTAAATGCGTTATGTTATGTAATAATAAAAACTACATAAAAGTATTAGCGGAATCAGTACCACCATGTCATACTGATAATCTTCTAGATATACTTGTGATGTGATTGACCAGGGAAATTTGGGATATTTTTAAGGGGGAAAAATCATCCATTGACTTCTCCCTCCCGGGTGAGGCGGGAGGGAGTGTCAGACTCTTATTGACTAAAAACCATCCCGTTCCTTCTCCTGCACTTCGAGCCGGAGCCCCGGTTACCCGTTAGGTTCTCCGCGACAAGAGAAAATTGGGATTAAGTCCACATTTCAATGATCCAATTTATATGAAAAACAAGGATCAAAATGTTTGAAAATACATTTATTGAGTACTTAATGACATATGTGTGATCCATTTCCACTGTCTGACTATTTAATAATAGCTACTTCCGCGCGGTTTCACACGCTCTGCTCAGCTCCTATTAGTCGTAGAGTGATGTTTTATAGCCTATAGCCATCCTCAATAAATGCGCTATCCAACACAAAAAGAATTATTCAAATCAGACTTGTAGTTATGGAGATTATCGCGTTCAAACAAACAAACAAACTCTTCCGCTTTATATCTTTATATATATAATTCTTCTGTGAGTGTGCATGTCACTGAACTTCTCTCAAACGACTGGAACTATTTTGATGATTTTTTTGTGTGTTCAAGCCTTGAACTTCAAGGGCATCTGGGAATGGTTTAGATTCACAAATCAGCCCGGCAGATGGCGCTGCAGTCGATGTTTAGGTTATTTATCCTAAACAGCTGAACTAATTTGAATGAATTTTTGTTTATACATTCAAGTGGATATGCAGGACAACGTCTGTCGGGTACGCTAGTAATAGTATAAGATAAGGATTGTTAACATTGCACATTTATTTGTTGGTACTTACGCTGTAGGGGTTGCTATATGAACGACGTGAGGCGCCTCTCATTGATTCTCATTATTAAATAGACAAAATGTAAATTTATACTAAAACACTGTTTGTATGTTTGTTTCAGCAATCGCAGTCGGAACCACCAGGCCTGCTGGACGGCATGCTCTGGCAGAACATACACCCTCTAGACGTAAAAGGTATGTCCACTGTTTATTTATAATGTTTTAAAACTTGTAAAAATTTATATGTAGAAGTATAAAAGAGGAACTCACGTAGCAAAATAACGAACATTCGTCGAATTCCTAATCCTAAACCGCCGGTAACGCACCATCAGGTGATCTGTCTGCTAGTTTACCGGCTCATACAATAGGCGTGTCGACAGGGTAAAAAAATCAAAAAAGTAATTAGTCCGTCATTAAGATCGCACGAAAATATCAGACACGTATTTTTTGTTTTATCAAATTAACAGAAGAATACGTAGTTATTCCGCATTAAAGTTAGGGAGTGGGGAGTGTTGACGTCACACTTACGGAGAAATCGTACCTAATTGTGACGTCACGCGTCATTTTAACTCAAAATATCTACATGTTTTTTTGGATACGAGAAAAAAGAAAATATACGTATCGAAGATTTTTAAAATATCTAAAAGACGGATAAAAAATAAAAAAATAGTCGCCATGCCTATTAAAAAAGATTTTGTTCGAGTGTAAACTTCATTTGCGCGATGCAGAATATTGTGACGTCATATTATTAATGGTGGAGTGGCGGGGCGTCAGCGACGCGTGATGCTTGCTCGCGCGCTGTCATGGCCGCCGGCTCTAGTGAGGGGGAATGGTCGGCGGTAGTAATGGGAAGAATGAAGCTATGCTTTAACAGTGTGTAAATAAATAAACGTTACATTACAGACGAGGACGGCGAGCCGACTACGAGCGCGGACGGTGGCCACAGCGTGAAGGATGACGACTGCGTGCCGGTCAACGTGAGTCCCGCACACTATGTATACCGTCACTCACTTACTTACTTATTCTAATTTAGCCCTTATTAACCCGTAAGGTTATCTCATACGCGACCGGCACCAACCTAGCAATAAACTTGTCTTTTATTATGTTTTTCGACTCACTCACGTAATTATTTGACGAGGAACTCGACTTTCAAGCCATTCTAGAGGCTCATATTCATAAACAGCATTCTGCGACCGACGTGGCGGCTGTCGCGCTGCTACCTTAGCCTCTAGCTTCGCTTGACAGTAGTCGAGTTCCTCGTCAAATAATTGGGATGATAACAGGATATGAAAATTAAAAATCAAATTAGTCCGTAAGTTACGTAATTAAAAAATATTAGACACGTATTTTTTTATTTTGTCGTATAATAAAACAATACTTAGATAAAACGAATCAAAGTTTAGGAGTGGGGGCTAAAACGTCATTTCTACGTATAAAATGTACATAGAAGTGTCGTCACGCGACATTTCAAATCAATATATCGTCGAAAGTATTAGTCTCTGTAAGAAAATAAAATATACGTGTCTAATGATTTAAAATAATCTACCAAACGGACATTAAAATAAAAATTAGACATCTACCCTATTACGTGAGTACTTAAGCCGAAAAACATAATAATCAATTTACCTCTAGTATGTCTCAAGTAAGATAAATGAACTTGTCATTTCAATTTGAACATTAAATCTTATGTCTTATGAGTCATTTTATAACGTCAATAGAAAGAATACATTTTGGTAATGTTTTCGAAGCTACAAATGTCGTGTTCGTGCCGTTACTGTGTGCGATGTCCCTTACTCTTACTTACAGCTTGGCAAAAAATAGTTTGGAATTAATGAGGGCGCTAGTATCGTATCTGTGGCAACCTGGTACACTACGACTCAATCGGTCTTGGTATTTGTTATTTTTACATAACATAACATCACGCCTTTTTATCCCCGAAGGGGTAGGCAGAGGTACACGTTTCGGCACTTAATGCCACTACAATGTAACACCCTCTTTTCACAATTTATGTTATGAGTCCCATGTAATAGGGGATGAGCCTATTGCCATATACCGGTCACAATTCCAGACTCTGTGCTACAACTAAGATTTTTTAAAACTCAGTAATACTTTGCCCGACTCGGGAATCGAACCCGAGACCCCTTGCCCAGCAGTCGCACTTGCGACCACTCGGCCAACGAGGCAGTCGTTGTTATTTTTATTAAGTTTAAACTGACTGCCGGCCAAGAGGTCTCGGGTTGGATTCCCGGGTCGGGCAAAGTATTACTGAGTTTTTAAAAATCTCAGTAGTAGCACGGAGTCTGGAATTATGCCTGGTATATGATAATAGGCTCACCCCCTATTACATGGGACTCATAACATAAATAGTGAAAAGTGGGTGTTATATTGAACAGTGGCATTAAGTGCCACAATGTGCGCCTCTGTCTACCCCTTCGAGGATGAAAGGCGTGATGTTATATTTTTTTTGTGGGTTATTTAGTCCGAGTCAATATTAGTTCCAACTGTCACCGGGTCAAACTGTTTTTTGCCAAGCTGTACTTGTGTTTATCCTTGCTGTTACCGCTTCTTACCCTTACCTAATGTAACTAGTTCTTGCTTGCATTTACCGTAAATTACGACTGTTTGCTCTAATTGTTAAATTCTCCTACTTTCTTAAACTGAAAATTACTTAAAATCACTTAATACGCTTGTTCGCATAGTTAGCTTTATTAACCCGTTGAAAATCATCCCCTAAATTTGTTCGTACAAAAGTAGTCTCTAAACATTGGAAATAAGGTCCTTAATGTAGTTAGTGGAGAGAGGTCACCGGTGACTGCTTGGGGATATATGGGGTTGTCCAATATTCGTACAGTAGAATGAATTTGTCTTTTTTTGTTAATTTTTCCTAATAACAGCTGACTTAGTGTTGCTTAATATTCCGAGTAAAATTAATAGGTCAACTCCCGACTATGATTTAGATTCCTATAGTAAAAATTACTAACACACAAAAATAAACCCTCTTCCAGATGTCAAACGGTCGACTATCAAGTACGAACGAAAGCGAAGATACGATGCCGAACGTCCTCGAGCCCCAAGTACAAATAATCCCCCAGTCTTCCCCCACCCCACCCCCTCACAAACCGCTCCCCCTCACACCACTTCCCATCCCCCCAATCCCCATCCTAACCAACCCCCTCCAAGCCATAGAACAAGCGAGAATACAACAAAACTTCTTACAGAAATTAAACGAACTATCAAATACGCCACTAAATTTGAGTAATTTAGATGAAATGAAGAGAAAAAATGGTCATGAACGACAGGATAAATCAGAGGATCAGATCAAACATGATTGCGGTACGGCGACCGAGGAGGAGAGGTTATATTTCACTGCGAAAAGACAACATGCTATATGGGAGCATGAAGCTAAAATGAAAATCTTAAATATGGAGCTAAGGCAAAAAGAAGAAATATTCTCGTTGCAAAAACAACTGTTTTTAATCGAGTTACGGTTGAAAATGGATTTCCTTGAGAAGGCCAGCGCTAAATGATGGGGTGAGTCTTTTTTTTGTACCTTTTTAAACGACCTTATTACATTTGTCAACACATTAAGTGCTATATTTCACCGGGACACCCTGGCGACGCAATCAGTCGCTGCTACCGATAAAATGTACCTCAATAGAGTTCTATAGAGAGTTATTCACCTGGTGTCCGCTTGATTGCGCAACCTTATGTGCCAGCGTTAGAGTCTGATTTACGACTACCGTGCCAGAGTGATTGGCGACTCGTATGGTGTCTAGTTTGGTAGCTTTTGGACACCATGGTGGCCTGATTACGCCGCCCTGGTATCCCACTATAGCCCTTAGGTTGGTTTTAGTGTCAGCCTCACCCAGCCTTACCACCTCATGTGACGCACCTTAGAAAGCGTTTTTGAATGACGCATAGCTATCAATGCGGTCGGTTCCTAGAAGTTCATATTTCTCGGCTGTCAGCGCCGACGGTCAGCGTGCGGTCAGCGCGACACTAAAACCAGCCTTACCCTTTTCGCGTGTTTAGTAAGAGCTGATTTGTCCCTTAAGTCAGCATTTTGCCAAGTGTGATCATTATGACAAACTCTCTTATGTCAAAATCAAGAAGTGGTCTGTCACGGAATGTACGGTCAAAGGTCAAAAGTCGACTGCCACTGTAAGACTACTATCGGTTGCGCTGCAGCGCTTATACACACATACACACGCTTCCGTGTGCGTACGCGTGCGTGTGTATGCGTACGCACGCGTTTTTATGCACATTAATATGAAATTACTTACGCATTGCCGTGTGAATATCACTCACGGTGGACTTATGACCTTTGACTGTACATTATAATGTTGGGCAAGTGGCCTCAGGTTCATTCCCTGAATCCCGTAAAGTAGTATGCGCATAACATCAGTTATGTTATGAGTTTTTAATGGGATAAGTCGGTAATCGAGCAGACGGATCACCTGATGGTAAGCTATCGGCTCTGACCATGGACACACACACGTTACAAGTGCCTTATTGGCCTTTTGAGGATTAGGAATTTGAGGGTTGTTGGGGATTCGGGGATTGGGAAGATTAGAGAGGAGGGGTATTTGCGGGCCTCCGGTAACCTCGCCCATACGACGAAATACAACGTAAGCGTTGTTTTACGTCGGTCTTCTGTGGGGTACCATATAACGTATAAACTTATCAATACTTCGAAATGATTTTTTTAGATTTGTTCACATGTTTATTTTGCAATCCTCAGAAAGCGCCGCCCAAGGAAACGTCAGCGAACTGTTTGTTTTTTTTTAATAAAAGAACAACGAGCAAAGGAAATGAGCCGCACATCCGAGTGTAATCTAGTTTTAAAAAGTGCCATCTATCGTGTAGTTACCGAATTAATTCCTTTCATTTTGAGTTTAAGTAGTTAAACTACTAAAACGATCCATTAAAAATTATAAATAATGTTATTTTTTAAAAAGGAGTTTGCAATAATACTTAATACAGGGTAAAGGCACCAATTGCTGTCGCATACTGTTGGCCAGCTATTGGTCCGTTTACCTCATTATGCAATGTGACGTATGAAGGCCATTCGTCACATTTGAGGCCATAGACCAGAGTCTAGGCCATTAACAACGAGATATAAGCAATATTAAGATAGATGCCGCCTTAAGGCCTTAACTCTTAGTATTTAAATAAAAAGTGGCCTTGTTTGGCCTTCTTTCAATTGAAATTACTTTAATGTTAAGGCCAAATTATAGACATTTAGTCAACAGAGATGTGTGGGCCTGGTCTAGGCCTATTGGTCTAGCAAAGACTCTAATCTATGGTCTCAAAAGGCCAAGTTTCAATGTGATTACGAAGTTATTTTTGTATTCGTTATACATTTGTCTATAGCTTATTTTTTATGTTTTTTTTTTCGTTAGAATAAGAAAAGTGCTTAAGTTCGTAAAACGCTGCGATTTTTATAGTATTATCTTTGGCAGCTCATTGTGAAGCTGAATGTCTCAAATGTTGGTGTCATTTGTCTCAATTTTACAACGACATTATATTTTGTTAAACTATATACAATTTAATTGGTTGGACAACGGTAATTGGTTAATAGAAAAGAATACAGACAATAAACAATTTCCCTCCATAATCGAACTGTCAAAACGAAAAAACGCGCGAAACATCAATATTTGACACATTACAGCTATTTGATAAATACTGCCAAAATAAAATGGAGTTTCGCAATAAAAGGTCTATGAAAGTAGTACTTAGGGGCTGCAAGTCTGTCATTATAATTCGTCGGGGTCAGTAGCTATGTTCACGAAGTATTTTTCACAATTTTAACAACAAAAAATACTTTAGTCGAGTTTAAAAAAATTGTCTAAATAGAGCTTTGGAACTGTTTTAAAAATATTTCGTGAATGTAGTTGTAATTCGGAGACGATTCAAGCATCGTATCAGTTATAACGGTGGCCGTATTTTTTATAAACGTTGTTGAATTATTCTTTACGCCTAGTGTTGTTCTTATATCGATAAAATTTTATTTTGATCGATATTTTTAATACAACTGGATTTAGTTTCAACGCGCTCAATGTTTTTAGCTGCGTTTATAAACAATACGAAGGTATTTAACCTAGTCTTAAAATTGTATTTTCTGTATGGAATAGTTATTGTACAAAAGAGTTCCGAACTTAATCAGTATTTAAAAAAATATGTATTATTTAAATTAAAAAAAAGATGCATGAAAAGACATGTCGGTGTTGCCAATTTCGGGATTTATAAATTCTTGCCATCCTTCAAGTATTATTTATTATTTATCTAAATTCTTAGTTCGAACTCTTTGTAATACCGCATCTTATATGGTCAAGTTAAGGTTTGTGATATTTATTATGGCTTTGGATTGGTGATATTGAAAACGGGCGTTAGTCTCTATATCTTAAGATATAAACTCCGTTAACGCTGTGGAAGTACCTTAGTCGATGCGGCTCTAACTAGTCCATACATTATTTCGAGTCAATGACGTGCCAATAATCGAAAACCATTGTTAATAATAATAATAATAGTTATTACATATATAAGATATTGTTATAATAGATATTTAGATACGTAAAGAAAATTAGACAAACAATTATTGGACAGTATGATGATATTATTAATATTAATAACTTAGACAGGAAATATAAATACAGTACAAAGACTTCAGATAGAAGTCGTTACCTCAGTGCAGTGTATTGTAAATAAATAAATAACTAGGCTTAGATGTAAAATATAAAATTTTAGAAATTTTTTATACGAGGGCGACTTACACCTTCAAATTTTCATAATTTTCGCATTCAAACTCTGTTGCCAGATCACAAAATTTTATTATTAACACCCTCTGTCTGGCAATACTAAATTTTAAAACATGTAAATATTAAGTTTATTTCATTTTAGAATCCTGTCAATATGGCAATAAATAGGTGTAAGCACCTCAAAATCATGGCAATACTTTTTAAAATATTTTAAAATGGCAATGTAACATTGTGATGTATTTTACGATCTCAATACAGATTAAAAAGATATTTTTTTTACCTCCGACAAAACTGTAAAATTTTAGAAAGGAAACTTGCAATTGTATAAAATACATTCTTTTTTATTCGAAGCGACTACGTTAATCTGATAAAATTGGATATTATTAAAATAAAGAATTTATTTTCTGTTCCGATGTTTTTTATTTAAGCCCTTATAGCTTTTATTAACGGGTGCAATATGCATGTATTATACATATAAATGTTACAGAATCACTGTATCTATTAAAAAAACTGCATCAAAATCCGTTGCGTAGTTTTAAAGATCTAAACATACGTAGGGACAGACGGACGGCGGATAGCGTCTTTTTAAACAATGTAGTGATGGTAATCACTTCAAACAAAGAAAGGGTACTCTAACAGTCTAGTTTTCTACCATCAGTTATCTTTTTTAGTTTTTCTTCGTATTTAGTCGCTACTCGCTACATCTTGAAAATAAGTACCATAACATTTTTATGTTATGGTACTTATTTTCAAGGCGTGATGTTTTCATCACGCCTTTTTATCCCCGAAGAGGTAGGCAGAGTTGTACATTATTTACGTTACGTACGTACGTTGGATGGCCATTGGTTCACACTTCAGGTGATCTCAACCATCTTTTTTACAATATCTTTATAAAGAAGATATGCTGCGCCTAAAGTATTGACCGCAACTGGTTCGAAAGCATAAGTCAATCGGGCTATTATACTTTCGCCGTTTGAGGTTCTCGGCATCACCGGCTCTAGGGTGTAGACCCGGTGGAGCTTGGAAGATGAAATGGCGCAAGAGTATCAACGCAAGTGGCATCCCATCCTAAAGGCTTACCCATCTTCCAAGGGAATAAAATCATACTGTTGGGTCTCTTGCCATCGTCGTGTACTCTAAGGTAGCTGGCACGCCGACGGAGACCTGACGAGTAATGCTTAGGCTGTGGTGTCCAAAGCTGTTGACATGTTCACCACAGAGACATCGATGAGGTGAACAAAATAGAACCCTAATTCGGAAACAGACTGCTCCAGTATCGTCCAACAAAGTGCTACTAGGTTGGACGAAGGCAAAGCAAGTCATTAATTAATACTTCAGACTGACTTTAAGTATTAAGAAATACAAATTAAAGACAATTTATTTTGCAAATATTTATTTGCATTTCCATAGAGGTGCAATAAAGTCTGTAGGTCAAATACAGTTTTTTGAGAGAACACTTAGTCGATTTTCAATACAATACAATTTTAGTCGATTACTAATCGACTAAAATTGTATGTATGGTTTCTCTAGCTCTAGGTACAAATGAATGACAGCTTGACATTTAGGGTCGCGTCATTTTTAGAGTTATTTGTTGTTCTTCGTCTATTTAGAAAAAATACGAAGTAAATTCTATTCTATTAAAAATTGAATATGGAAGTTAGTATAGATACATTTGATAAAATATGCCGTGTCTGTTTAATACAATGTCCCGATATGAAATCCCTGTTTACAAAAATAGTCGAAGAAAAACGCAACTTGTTCGAGATTTTAGGATTTACTGCAAATATTAATATTAACTACGAGGATCCTCTGCCGAAACAGGTTTGTAGTGAATGTGAGACGGTCATGTGCAAGGCTGATGCATTTAAACGCCGTTGTCTTAACTCTGACACGATTTTAAACGAGATTTACCAAAATTCTTTGATCATCGACGATCCTACTTTAAACGACAAGAAATGCTCAATAAAGGATGAAAATGGGGATTTAGCTGATAAATTAAGTTCGTATATTACCTCTGAAGTACCAAACACGGCAGATTACGATACACAAGATAACTTAGACAAGAAAAATGTTGTGGTACATGATACTTCGGTTTTTGCTGTTCCTGGTGGTAATTTCTGTGAACAAACTGACACTGGAGTATCAATACACCCTGAACAGTTGGTTAAAGAAGAGATGAACCTTAATTTTGATGAAGATATAGGATTTCCCGACCATTATGATGATGAAATGCCATGTACTACATCTCCAAATGATTTGAAAGAACAAGCACCTGAATATTCAATGTACAAATGTCAATGCGGCACAACATTTCAAGAAAAAGACAAATACGAAAGCCATATAAAGCAAAAATGTAAAAATAAGAAAGTTATAATTAAAAAAAATAAAATTGTAAGAAAAAATATTGAATTCGGCTGTGGAGTATGTAGTTCTAATTTTAACAATTTGAATGCTTTAAAACAACATCAACAAGTACACTGTAACGAAATTGATACTAAACCACAAGTACATATTTGTAAATTGTGCTTAGTCCCATTCAAAACGAAGTCTGCGTTGAGTAGCCATATAAAAAAGCATGAAAAAACTGTAAATAGCAAGTCTGAAACTTACCAATGCTCATTTTGTTTACGGAAATTTAAGAATAAGTCTTCGTTGTCCACTCATATGCAACGCCATGAACAGACGGACAGTATAAAACATACATGCAAAGTGTGTAAGAGAGAATTTAAGTACAAAGCTTATTTAGATAATCATATTTCGACAATGCATTCTAGAAAGAACGGAATAAGTTGCGAATTGTGTGCTCAGAATTTTCCCAATGAAGAGAGTTTGGAGTTGCACAGAGATAGTCATAAGAATGAGAAAAAGCATCGCTGTACAGTTTGCAATAAAGGGTTTTTGATGTTGTGTACTCTTAAAGAACATATGCGTACTCATACGGGTGAGAAACCGTTCTTATGTTCTCAATGCGGACGAGGGTTTAGTCAGAAAACTAACTTAGCGCAGCACATGAGAAGGCATCAGGGCTTGAAGCCGTTTAAATGTGAAAATTGTGAAAAAAGGTAAGGTTTAAGTTTAATTTTTACTTTATATTTTACCCGCGGCTTCGCACTTTTTATCCTTTTGTGACGACAAAAGGATAAAAACTAGCCTATGTGTCATATACCAATACACGCAGCGCCATCTACACCAATACTTTTGTTTTCCCTCTGGAATATCAAATTTTTCCGGGATAAAAAGTACCCTATAATTTAATCCGGTCTTCTAACTTTACGTCTGCAAAAATTCAAAGCAATCAGTTTAGTAATTACGGCGTGAAAGCGGAACAAACAAACAAACTCACTTTCCGATTTATAATATTAGCAAGGATTGCTTCTAGTGAACAACAAACATACACACAACCTACCATTGATTAGTATCAATTTTCGAAAATTCTCACTAATACCATCGTTTTTGAAAATGAACTTGTGCATAAACAATTTAATGTAATATTCAAGGCTTCTTTTCTTTTTTTCTTATGATATTATCTTCTGATTTATTTCATAACTTCAGGGATCCAAAATAGTTATTCATGTCCCTGGGACGTGCTTGAGAGAGAGAGAGAGAGAGAGAGAGTTACCACACAAAAGTTGCAGTGGTTTTAGAAGGCTGTGGTGTGCTTGTCCCATAACTATATCCAATACGACCAGAATCCAAATACTTATTTTACACTACATTGAACTGCCCCGATTTCGATTGTTACATCAACATCAACAGTTTATATTCAATTCTCAAATACAACAAATTATTTACAGATTTGTATCCAAAGGTGAATTGGACGCTCACAACAGGAAACACAGTGGAGCACACCCCTTCGTCTGCGATGACTGTGGCAACGGCTTTACAACTTCAAGCGCTTTGGTCAAACACAGACGCATACACACCGGAGAGAAACCCTACCAGTGTGACCTTTGCCCAATGAGGTTTGCAGCTTCAGGTACTCTTAAAAACCACCGAAGAACTCATACAGGTGAACGGCCTTTCCAATGTTCATACTGTGAGAAAGCTTTTGTGCAACGCAACGATTTGATTTCTCATATCCGTTGTCATACGGGTGAGAAACCTTATATTTGTATGCAGTGTGGACAGTCGTTTAGGAAGGCTTCAGGGTTGAAGAGCCATGTGAAGATGCATGTGAAGGAACCGGTGTTGATGCCCGGTGTGAATGTAATGTTGAATGGTATGCATTGTGCTGAGCAGTGAATGGTATTATCTATAATATTATGACATACCAGGGGCTT